CAGCCATTGCAAGGGAACAATGTCACTTTGATACAACAATATTCTCCACTAAAGTCAGGGTGAAATTTGATGTCACAACATGATGACCAAAAATATGGGAGGACAAATGTCAAGACTTTTCCTGATGTTTTCCTCATGGCATTCTATTCTATTTTGGTCTCATGCATCAGCTAACCAAGATTTAATACCTAGCGGAATGCCTTGCTGGAAAGAAATGAAAAACTATTTCTCAAAACATTGCACATGGTGGTAACAAAAAAAATTCCTATCACCTTTAATTCCTGTTCATAGCATTACAAAAGACAAAATACTGATTTTTCAGGGGTCTGAATTTTTATCTTTAGCAAGGAAATAATCAAAATTAAAGCATGAGTGATGAGGTGCTGGTAGATCAATGTGTTAAGGCCTCTAAGAGTTGGTATTTAGGATTTTTGGTTTCTTACATTGTTGGCATAATCAGAAATCCCATATCATAGCTGAATGCTTTGAATTTTATGTTTTTAGAAGTTTATATGTCATGAATTTATATATGTGAGCAAATTTCTTTTTGAATGATCTATTCCCAAATTTCTATTTTCTATTTTTGTGTGCCTCCTCAATGCTTTTTGGAATATCACAATGTTGAAATAATTAATAAACCAATTAAATATAGTTGGCATTGGTATCAACTTGAGGCACATATACTTCTTATTGCAAATGTAGTAATAAACTACATTAAATAACTTTCTATAAATTGATGATGTGAAAATTCTTCATCTCACTTGCAGATCTTAGAAAACTTCGTGTCAGTACCCCAGTTAAATAATAGACCAGTTCAGCATTTTTTTCAGATGTCTTTCTAATGTTATTTGTGTCTCAGAAAATCCCTAAAGAGACAGAAAAAAACTGAAGCAGATGGAAACCTAGGAGGACAGCAATATAGAAACAAATCTGACCATAAAGAGATAAATCAGCTAGAGCTACGTTTTCAAAAGAATCCCTCCCTCAAGGCCACATTTAAAAACTACGGTTTCTGGTGAAATTGAATCATAAATTTAAATAGGAAAAAAATATGTAATCATTATTTATAGTGCTGGCAAAAAAACTTATACATTTATCTAATAGAAGAAGAGTCCATCGAGCCCCTGCTATGGACAGCTACAACCTAAAGGCAACGTTTTAATTTAATTTTTTGGTGTTTGTTGATTTTCCTTTCATGTCTTGAATGATTCTGCCTAAAACATCAAGTATATGTTACTGATAAAATCGAAACACACTGAATTACAGAAATGTGCTTGAATTGTGTGTAATATTCTTTTATCTTTTTCACCTCTAGGGGGAAGTGTGTTTTCAACAATTCTGTCCCAGAAGGTATTTTCTTGTAGGCTGCAGGCACTAGGGTATTATTCTTGAATGTGACTTCAGGGCTGGCCTGATGAAAGAGTTTCTTTCTGAAAATTGAAGGATTCCTGGTTGCCAGGATTCTGAGGGAAAAGGTTACACAGACTATAACAATTGGTGGAGAAAACTTCCTTCTGATAGCCTTTCTAACACATTTGTATGAATCTGTAGGATTCCCTGTGCATTGCTGTCTTTCTTGCCAGCAGAAGGGTAATGCAGATGCTGGTTTTATTTCAGGGCAGGAAAACAACCAGTTGAATCCTTTATAGAAAGCTTGGTTCTCATTTGGCTAATTTTATTTTATTTTGCAGCATTTCCCTGTAATTTTCTTCTGCTTTCACTCAACAACTTCAGCCAGAGAGAATGTAGTGAAAAGATCGGTAATCTTTTGAATGTTTAAAAAGCATGTGCCCCTCCATTTCAGTGCTTTACAGAATTGAAAGGAACAATATTTGAAGAGTGAGTCCCAGAGATGGGTTATTGCTATTTTTTCTTTCTTGGTTTGATTCACTTTTATGATTACAAAGGTGCAAAAAATTTATCATAAAATATTAGTCATCTTACCTGCTGTAGAGCCTCAAAATTAGCTACATATAATATAAAGTTTTCATAGAATGTTATTATTTAATGAAAGTTAGCTTTGATTTTCCAGCTTTCTTTTACATGGTATTATAGGTGGTACATCCTGGATTTCTAATTCAGGACGACACAAAAATATTCTCAGGAGACAAAGAGGTAGGTAAGTGCGTCATTTATAGCCATGGGTGCAGCCGTCGTGGGTGTCAGGCGGGATGACTGGTTAAATCTTTTCCAGTCTTAGGAATGGAAAACTGCATTATAGTCACACACACTTTCTACTGCTTGAGAAAAATCTAATTTGATGGAAAGCAAACAAACAACATCCAAATGCATATACTTTTATTCTTACCAGGTGGGTCTTCCTATACATTTGTGTCTACTTTCATGAAAAAAACTTTTCTTTAAAAATCCGAATTTATGCTCCCTGGAAAAAATGAAGGGCCGCTGAGAGCTGCGCCGCGGTCTCGTTACGCTGTCCACTCGGGGGGCTCTGCCTTTCCAGAGCTGGGTGTGTCAGCGCCCTGGAGTGGCAACTGGAGCTGGAGAGCCCTGCTCCAAAGGCCGCCGAGAGGCTGCGACGCTCGCCCCCACCCCCAGGCACTGCCCTGCCGGTGACCCTCGGCCAGGCGGGCAGCGCCTGCAGGAGCAGAGGCGCGCGAGGCCGGTGCCGCTGACACCCCAGACTCTCCGCATAAGCCCACGCTACGCCCTGTGCAGAACCCTCTCGCCGCTGGCGGGCGTCCCCCGGACACCGGGCGCAGCGGACAGTAATAGGAGACCCGGTCCCTTCACTGCGCGCTGGCCGCCGGCTTCCCAATCCATTAAGTCCCTTGGAATTCGGGATTGTGTTCTCTCTCTCTCTCTCTCTCTCTCCCCCCCCCATTCCTTGGAGTTCAGAGAAGATACAATAATTGCAAACTCTGCATCTCAGTGTGTGAGGATGATGCAGTTTATGGAATTACATTTTATACAGAGGCTCCTTTGCTACTGGTTAGCAGCTCTAATTAAATACATGGAAGTTCTCGCAGGACTTGCAAGGGCCTCCCTGAAGGTTTAGGTGAGGAATCCGAAAACTAAATACCCCGAGGCTGAAACGCTACCAGCGCCGAGGTTTCCCCAGCCGGGAGGCGCGAGGCGGAGCCGCTGCTCGGGCGCCCCAGGTCCCGTCGCCGGGCGCGCGGGTTCGCGTTCTCGCCGTCGCCAGCGAGAACCACGGATCTTTAGGGTCTCGGAGCAAACACCCCCCACCCCCGTCAAATCCCCCGGGACCCACAAAAAGAAAACCCCCAACCAACGCCCCCAAACCAAAAGCGCAGCTCGCGCAGCCGCCGGGCCGCGGCGAGTTCCTGCCGCGGGAGGGCGCAGGTGGCAGCCCCGCCGCAGCGTGCCCGGGGGCGCGCAGACCAAGACCGCTTTAAACCATTTTCAAAGTATTTTAATTTGCGGCACTTAAGGGTGAGAATTCTCGCGTCCAGGGTAGCCCTTCACGTGGCAAACGACCTCGGTGTTCTGCCCCTTTCAGAGGGTCCCGTTCCACTCGGACCCGTCCTGCGGCGGCGCGGACCCCGGCGAGGCTGCTGCGGCCACCGACCTCTCCCCGGCCGTGTCCATCCCGCGTCCTCCGCGGCCGCGGCCGTGACCGCGGGCGGGGCTGGGTCTCGAGGGAGCCCGTCCTCGGCGTTGCGGACCCGGGGCCCCGCGGGTCGCGCGCCCGGAGGAGAAGCGGCCGCATCCCCCAGCGCGGGGCGCGAGCAGAGCGCGCGCGGGCAGCCCGGGGACTCAGGGTGCCGACTTGGGGAGCTCTCTTCACGCTCTTCACTTAGCTACCTGGGTCAACAAACCCAGCGCCGAAGACACCTTGGAGATGCTTTTGCAAGTTTTGACACCTCCAGAAGCCGGATTGTGCGCGTGGTTGGGGGAGCAACGAGTTTCGCTTTCCTGCTCCCACTGCCGGGAGGGTCCGCGCGCCGGCGCTCGGGGATCCCCACCCCGGGGCGACTCCGGCGCGAGTCCGCGCGCCCCGGAGGGAAGAGGCCGCTGCGGGGCAGGGGAAGGCGGGCGCGACGTGCGCCCGGGCTGGCAGGGCGCTCCAGGTCCGCGCCGAGCTGTCTGCCCCGGGACGTCGGTCCCTGTTCCCTGACCTTGCGCCAGGCGACCGGGAATGTCCGGCGCCCGCCCCGAGCCGGTCGGTCCGGAGGGAATGTGGCCGGAGTGAAAACAGAGGTGAGAGCGAGAGGGATCTACGGATTTCTGCAACGAATCTGCACATTTCTAGGACCACCCGCTTCCTCTGATCCTGCTTTTTTTTTTTGGGCTCTGTGTGTGCGCGCGTGTGTGTGTGTGCGCGCGCGCCTGCCAGCATTTCTCTACTTGGAAACACGTCTCGCTTTTTTAAAGCGCAGCTGGAGAGCGCGCGCCGCGCGCGGGGCGGGGAGCGCGGGGACCCCGGGGCGCGCGGCAGCGCGGGGGCTCGTGCGGGTCGGGGCGCGGGCGCCGGCGGCTCTCCGGAGAAGGCCGAGGGCTGGAGAGCAGCAGGGGTGGGGGACACAGGCGAGGTGGGAAGGGAAGGGGTGCGGGGCGGAGCCCTGATGTCAGAATGTTAATGAGAGGCTCCCCCAGCCCAGCCCCCCCCCGCTCCCCCCCTCCCCGCCCTCCCCGCCCTCCCCGCTGGAAACACAAGCCCGGCCCGGGCGCGCCATGTGTGGTAGCGCGCCCCGCCGCCGCCACGCTATTTAAACGCGGGCTATGGATCCGGGGCCCCGCGCGAATCAATGAGATCAAACGCGAGGGAGATGCACCGTCAATTACAAGCACTCGGACAAGTCTAACTTTTTTCTTCTTTTACAAATACGCTTTCAAAAGCAACCTTAGCAACGCCCAAATAAGAAGCCACCTCTAAGCAAAACAGTCTATGTGCAGGAGGACGCATGTGTCTATTTATGATAAGGATGCACAAATACATCGCAGGCGCGCAGGTTCACACCCGGTGAACTTTTTCTTCTTCTTTTTTTCAAACGAGTGACATTGCAAACGAGACGCGTCCTCGCTCTCTGTTGGCGACGTAGCGAGGGGGTATTCTGTTTGCTCAGAGCGCCCAGGGGGGCGCCGGGGCCTCGGAGACCAGAGTGGGGACCGCCGCGGCGGGGCGGGCGGGGGGCAGCGGGCGAGCCGGCGGCGCGCGAAGGGCTCGGCTGCGGCACGATGCGGTCCCCGCGGGCGCTCGCGCTCTCGGCGTGCGTCCTGCTCGGCTGGGCGCTGCTGGCCGGCGCTGCGGGTGGCGGGGGCGGGCGCGGGCGCGGGCGGCGGGCGCCGGGAGAGAGAGGCGCTGCCGCCCCAGGAGATCGAGGTGCTGGTGCTGTTGCCCCGGGACGACTCCTACCTGTTCTCCCTGGCCCGGGTGCGGCCGGCCATCGAGTACGCGCTGCGCAGCGTGGAGGGCAACGGCTCCGGGCTGCGGCTCCTGCCGGCCGGCACTCGCTTCCAGGTGGCCTACGAAGACTCTGACTGCGGCAACCGCGCGCTCTTCAGCCTGGTGGACCGCGTGGCGGCGGCGCGGGGCGCCCGACCCGACCTCATCCTGGGGCCCGTGTGCGAGTACGCGGCGGCGCCGGTGGCCCGCCTGGCCTCGCACTGGGACGTGCCCATGCTGTCGGCCGGCGCGCTGGCCGCGGGCTTCCAGCACAAGGACACGGAGTACTCGCACCTCACGCGCGTGGCGCCCGCTTACGCCAAGATGGGCGAGATGATGCTCGCCCTGTTCCGCCACCACCAGTGGAGCCGCGCCCTGCTGGTCTACAGCGACGACAAGCTGCAGCGGAACTGCTACTTCACCGTCGAGGGGGTCCACGAGGTCTTCCAGGAGGAGGGCTTGCACACATCCGCCTACAGCTTCGACGAGACCAAAGGCTTGGACCTGGACGACGTCGTGCGCTACATCCAGGCCAGCGAGCGAGGTGAGCGGGAGCGCGGCCCGGGCCCCCTGCCCTAACCCAGCGCTTCTTCTTCGAGGCTCTCCGCACACACCCGTCGCGCCTCCGCGGACCTCATTACCCCCCGCGGCACTTGGTACTGCTCTGGGTCGGGGCGAGGGGGGGGGCGCGGGCGAGGACTAGTCCCCCTGTGTACACTCTTGTGGTGACTTTTGACGGTCGTCCGTCGTGGTCGCGGGGTGGGAGTTGAGGGTCCCCGGGAGGTGGCGGAGCCAGGGGGAGGGGCGTCCGAGCCAGCTGCTCCCGCCCGCCAGGTCCGACAGGTGCCGTCAAACACCCTGGGCTGTTTTTCTTCCTTGTTTCCCTTTCGCGGGCGCGGGGTTGGCGATCAGGGGCGCACTCCTAGCCCGCGGCTTGCTCCGGCGGGGCTCTGCAAGCGTGCGGACGACGGAAGAACTAGTTTCCCACTGCTTTCCCGGCCGTGCGCCCCTTCCCAGCGCCGCAGCGTACTCGGGCGCGCTACGGTGCGCGCCTCCAGTTGGGTAGCTCCAGGCCCCGGGTGTTCCCCGCTGTTGCTTGCACAGATCTCAGCTTTCTTTTAAAGGCTCATTGTATCGCCCTTCTCAATCCTTCCATTGGGCCTCCTGTCCCTTATAAACGAGCTTCTGTGGTTTCCACCAAAAATGCCACACTGTGTCGACTCAGGCGAAATTCACTGCCCCCAGCGCGTTTGGCACCGCGGCCTCTAAAGCGTCCGGAGCGAAGCTTTGCCGCAACGCTTACTAGGGAAGCGGGCGCTGACTCTTTTCCACGCGCCCCCTACGTTTCCCCCCTCGGGTCTGCGGGAGTTTGCAATAATAACCCAAGTGGACAAAGAGCTTAAAGACTGAGCGGGGTGGCCGTGGCCGCAGGGGGCGGAAGGAGACGCGGGGGGTCGCGGACTCCTAACCACGGAAGCGCCCCCAGTGCGGCGCATCTTGCTGCAGGGTAGGCTGCGGCTGAGGTCTCGGCACGGCGCCCTTCCCTCTTTCTTGCCGTCGGAGTTGGCGAGCGCAACCCCTCGGGAAACCCACCTCTGCTGCCCCTCGGCACGCGCGCGCTTGGGTTGTCACTGGTGCAATCCCAGAAAAGCTCCCGGAGCCCTCACGCGAGGAGACCGAGGGGCGCGGGGCTCAGTCAGTCGCCTGGCCAGTCCATGACCGGGCAGGGTCGGGCACCTGGGCCCTAGCCCCTTGGGGGGCAGCGCAACCGGAGGCGGGGGTGAGGGGCCTCAGGGACAGGTGAGTGGGCAGATGCGCCTTGGGGATGGTCCTGCGGCCCCCTCCCCCTCGCGTCTTGGCCGCCGGACGCGGAGTGAACGCCCTCTTTAGAGCCCAGAGGAGGGAGGTGTTGACAGCGGGGATGCGCAGCCAAGTTTTGAGCCTTCGAACTCCAGGCAGTCTGCGCCGAATCCCTGCCAGCCAGGCAGGCGGGGCGCGGGCTTTGCAGATTATGAAAAAGGGCACTTGTGTCCAACCGCTACAGACCGGCCGCGCCCGAAGGAGAAACCCACGTCGGCTTTTCTCTGCGTTCCAGTCCCCAGGCTGCTGCAGACCTTTGCAGCCCTCGCACTGCCCGGGGCCCGGGAACCTGGTTCTTCAGATGTTGACTTTCTAGAGCCGGGAGTTAGTGGTGGGAGACTTCCCGGGTCGGGCTGGGGATGGGGGTGTGTCCCCCAGCGGGCTAGAACCGCAGTTTGCAGAGTCTCTGCTGCCGCTGCCCAGAAGGTCCCGGTGCCCGCAGGGATCCCTGTGCACGTGGCCCGGGATCCGTGGCCTGTGGCCCACGGGTATCCACCAACCCAGATGAGGGTGGATCGCGGCCGCCGCGGCCCTCAGCCTAACCATAACGGTGGAGGCTGGGCGTAGGAGGGGCACAGGGAGGGCACCAGAGTCCAGTGGGCCTGGAACCTTGGGAAGGTTTGGGCAACAGTCTGCTGCTGCTGATTATTTTTTAATTTCCAAAACCTCATAGATGTTCCCAAGTCTCTTTGTCCCCCAGCTGCCTTCCAGTTTTGAATTTAGTTGCAAAAGTTTGCTTGACTGACCTGAATATCTTACTCGGGATGTAGTTACCATTTTATTTTTTATTTATTTTAAAGATTTATTTATTTATGCATACAAGAGCTGGGGTACAGGCCAGGGGTGTGGAGGGTGAGAGGATTCACCAGAGACAGAGTGGGGAGCAGAACAGGCAGATTTGACTGAAATACTCCTGAGGGGAGCAGCGGGCGAGTCAGAAGAGGTCTGCCGTGCCATGTGGGTAGCTCCCTGGCCGGGGATGGAACTCGTGCTGCAGAGGTTGTGATAGCTTCATAGTGTGCTTAACCCCTTGCACCACCAGGGAGGCCCCGTAGTTACCATTTTGAAGAGACCATTCTAACTCAAAAATATACTTTCAACAGTGACTTGGCAGAGGTTCAGAAATGTGAAATAAAAGTTTCTTTCCTAAGTTTATTCAGGCCCTCCCCCCTCCCCCTTCTTACTCAGGAGAGAAAGTTGCTTGGTGACAAGGCTTTCCTAGGGGATGTCTTATAAATCACTTGTCGCAGTCAATGAATTAAAAGGGGGTTTAGTGAGGGGTTCTGTGTAGAGAATGCCTGCCCTGGCTCAGCAATTCATTGGTGGGGGTAGAGGGGTGGAGGGGATGTCAGGATGCTTCTAAACTTCTGCACTCAGTCTCCTCAGGTGAAGTGCATTCCCATTGTGAGGCTGCTGGAAGGGTTAACTGAGCTAATAGGGGACATGCGCTAAAACATGGAGAGACACAGACTAAGTGCCCCATAAATACGAGGTTTTAATATAGTCTTTATTTATTAATTATTATTATTATTATTATTAATTATATGATAATCATCTTTGCCTAGAAGGTGGGGCCACACCGTGGGGAAAGAGCCCAGAGGTGAGAAGCAGGTGAGCTGGACTAGGTGGCTCCACTTAGCAGCTGTGTGTCCAGTGCAAATCTTTTACCTTCTCCGAGGCTCAGTTCCCGCCTCTGTGAAACGGAGGGGGTAGGTCCATGAGAATCAGGTCCATGAGAATCAGGCTTGTTCAGACTGATCTTGGGTAGTTCTGATTTGTGTTCAAGAGTTAAAATGTAACTGACCATTTTTTCGTATTTGAAAGTTCTCTATTAAACATCATAGAACTAGAGAGGTTTCCCCCCTCTTCTGAATAACAATTTCAGTACTTTTTTTTGGGGGGGTGGTTGGGACGAAGTTCATCTTTAAAACCAGATCACAAATGTTTGAATCTTTTAAAAGATAAAAACTGGGCCTCCCCTGGTGGTGCAGCGGTTGAGCACTGGACTGCGAAGCTGCCTACAGCCTCTGCAGTGCCGGTTCTTCCATGTTCGATCCCCGCAAGGGTCCCACATGGCCCACAGACCTCTCCTGCTGCACCCGCTGCTCCCCTCAGCAGTATATTTCGCTGGTCTGCTTGTTCTGTTCCCTGCTCTGGCTCTGGTGAATTCTCTCACCCTCCGCACTTCTGACTGTACCCAGTGCTTGTATAAAAACAAAAACAAACAAACAAAAAAGATAAAAACTGATAGTGCCACTAGCTCAAATAATGACTAAAATTTCATTTGGCTTCATTATAGGGATTACCCGTGATGTCAATTTAATTTTTTCTCTCATGCCTTTAGACAATATAATTCACCGAAATACACACATCTTAGCACAAATTATTTGAAACCAGTGATCGTTATTTAAAACTGATTTAACTGATCAACTACTGCCCTTAATATTCTACACTCAACAATAAATTTGTTTTTTAAAAATGCAAGTTTGAAAATAAATATTTTTGGGCAATAAAAGTCAGTAGTTGTCTCATCTCTACACTTTATAAGATGCAAGACTAGAAATATTTTTGTACGAAGAACTGTCATTTTATCCCTATGGTTATTAATATGTCATTAATCTGGGCCTGCATAACAACTGGGGAGATAAAAGTGCTTAATAAGTATGATGCATTTATTTTTAGAACTAGACTGAGGTAAAGGACCGAGTGGTTGGTCAACAGGATTTTTAAGCCAAGAACCCATGATAAGTGTAAAATAACAAATACACAGCAGGAACGAAAAACAATGTAGGCTGCAGTGTAGAAATTCTGAAAGCATTTGGAGTAGATGGAACTTTGTGAACAACAAAAATAAAGGTGTGATCTCTATTTTGCAAATATCTATGTAGTGTAGAAAGAACCAGAGAGAAAAAAATTTTTGTTAGATTTTATTTTTATCAAAGATACAGTTACATGGTTTAAGAAATCAGAAAATTACACAGAAATTATACAAGTCATATTAGGAACAAGAGTTTCCTGTCTCCTACTTCCCATTTCTTACTTCCCAGAGGGAACTATTTTCAAATGTCATAACTGTTTCTGTAGGTTTTTGGGTTTTTTTTTTTTTTTTTAATAGAGGCATGTTTTTCTTTCTTTCTTTCTTTCTTTCTTTCTTTCTTTCTTTCTTTCTTTCTTTCTTTCTTTCTTTCTTTCTTTCTTTCTTTCTTTCTTTCTTTCTTTCTTTCTTTCTTTCTTTCTTTCTTTCTTTCTTTCTTTCTTTCTTTCTTTCTTTCTTTCTTTCTTTCTTTCTTTCTTCTTTCTTTCTTTCTTTCTTTCTTTCTTTCTTTCTTTCTTTCTTTCTTTCTTTCTTTCTTTCTTTCTTTCTTTCTTTTGTTTATACAAGCACTGGGTACAGTCAGAAGCGCGGGAGGGTGAGAGAATTCACCAGAGCCAGAGCGGGGAGCAGAACAGGCAGAAGGACCGAAGTACACTGCTGAGGGGAGCAGCGGGCGGCAGGAGAGGTCTGAGCGCCATGTGGGACCCTCCTCCGGTGGCTGGGAAGCAGCCGGGGATCGAACCGGCGCCGCAGAGGCCGCGGGCAGCTTCGCAACCCAGCGCTCAACCGCTGCGCCACCGGGGAGGCCCTCTGTAGGTTTTTGAATCTATATCTCTAACAAGTTCATTTCCACTTGTTCACATGTCCTT